ATACAAAGACACCCCTAAATATTATAAGAAAATAATTATTTAATAATGCCGCAGATGTTTTTGTCATCAGTTGTATGAATGGGGGAGGGATTACTTTAATGACACCTAAAATTATGCTAGTGGTGCTTTTAATTTTAGAAACGATTATGTGAATTTATTTGTTTTTCATTTTGGAAAATGAAAAACAAAAGGTTAGGAAGAAGAGATTTTTTATTATTATTGTTATTTTATGTTAGTTCTATTTTGTCAGTGTAAAATGTGAATTAAATTCATTAATAAGTACTTTGTTTTTGTAAATAGATTAGTAGTATGTATTATTAAGGGTTTTTTGATCTTTCATTTAATTTGTTTCACATCAATTTGTATAAAAAAGTTTGTTAAAAAAAATTACTACCATCTCTATTTTTAATTGCCAGTAGAAGAATGTGTTGACAAATAGTTTTAATTATCTCTTTAAAGATCAAATTACCAGCAATTCTTCACTTATAATTATATAAAATAATATTTTTAAATTTGAATGAAAATTAATATTATTTCGTAATTTTCTCTTATTTACTTACAAAACAAAAAACCAGATTTAGATAGAAAAATAATAATTAGAGACTATTAAATTGTTTTAATTTGTGTGTAAATGCATGATTTTAATGTGATCTTTAATATTTTTTTGTAAATGTACCTAAAATATAGAATTCAATAATATTCGATTAACAATCTTAATTAAGAAAAAGTTCAGGTAAAAGACCAAAAAGTCCTTCCAATTTTTGATTTAAGGCTATCTAGATCAATTGTTAGCGTGAGTATAAAACAATAATTGAGTCAAATTACATCGGACAAACTTTAGAAATGAAAATGTAATTTCCTTGCGATGTGGTTTCAGTTTAACTTTATTTACAATCTACTTTTGGGTTAATAAAAAAAATGCCCTTTAATTATACTTAAATAAAAAAAAATTCCCTTATAATTATTGATAACAAAAATTCCTCTATCTTAAATTTTTTGTATTAAAGTAAGCGATAGAGGATTAATTAGGTAGGTAATTATTAACACATCATGTTATAAATTCTAATGACTCCTAACAACATGAGGATTTATATTATTTCTAAAATTTCAGGGGGACATAGTTATTTGATCAAACTTTAGGGGGTAAACATCTTCCTTTTTTTCTCTCTCTATTTTCAATTTAACGACAATTTGTAATTATGGGGATGGCATTCCATTTAGAAAAGCAAAATGAGGTCATTCGGTTGAGTCAAGTAATTTAATATAAAGAGTGCGCTTGGTTCACATCATATAAGATTACAGAGTTGGTTTAATTTTCAAGATTCCTTTGTTTAGTTAACAAGTAATAAAATATTATAAATATTTTTAATTATAAATAGTATTTACTGTTAATAATATATGAGGTAATTTCAAGAGGTGTTATTAAAAGATTATCGAGGTAATTTGATTTTTGTATCTATTTTACCCTTAATTAAATACCATTTCTGACACAATTACCTTCAGATATCTACCAAATAACCTCATATGTTTGAAAATTTAGCTAAAACACCTCAACCACAAAAATTTAAAAATTAACAAAATACCCCCAACCACCCAAGACTACTGCTGGCCGCCAGCGACAGTTGCCGTAATGGCAACGATCAACAGATATGGTCGGTCGTGCACCGGTAAAGCCGTTATGCCAGATCTGGCTATTTTCATGGCCTTTTCATGATCTGTGGTTATTTCAAGGCCATATATCGGTGTACGACTGGCTAGATCCTACTGGTCATACACCATTACGGCAGCTACCAGCAATGGTGGTTGGCTGTTGGCAGTAGCTTGGGGTAGGTGGGGGTGATTTTGCTACAAATAAAAGTTTTATATAGCGAGGTATTTTAGCAAAATTTCAAATGTAGGGGGTTAAAAGAAATTATTCAAAAAATAATAATAAAAATAATATTATATTAATAGTTTAAAAGGAGGGTAATTTAGTATACTATATAACATATTCATCCATTTATCCTTCCAACCAAACATATTAATATAACATACCCATCAATTTATTTCAACCAGCCAAACACATTTCCCTAGACATTCCTAGTAATTTTTAAGGTAATTTATATTTGTATTAATATGACATTCCCAATAATAAAACATTCTCAGAACCAAATGCACCCAAAGAAAAAAGATGTTCTCAAATAAGATTGTCTAACGTTTCAAGGATTTTTATTATATTTAGTCTTATTTCATGTGGTTGAGTTTTTTTTTTTTTTTTTCTTAATTACATTTATATACTTTACATTGTAATCTATATTTATTTTTTCTTAAATATTAACAAAGAATCTTATAACAAGATAGAGTTGGAAGGTGGAAAGTAGCATTTCAAGTCAAGTCAACCAAAGTTTCCAATGGAGATTGTTAAACTTTGTGTTTCACAATGACCCAACTCCATCTTTTCGTGTTTCATACAACTTAACCTAACACTTTAAGACTTTTTTTTTAAGCAAATAATAATAATAATAATTTTAATTTTAATTTAAGATATTTGAAAAAAAAAATCAATTCATCTCTTGATATCAATCCATCAAACAAATAACGAGATTTAAAACTATTGATACTGTGATTTGTACTAATGAGAAGTACGTAGGATTCATAGGGGAAGCCACATAAGAGTTTGTATAAAACCTTTGATTTCGATGTTAGATCAATGAATGAACAGGAAATCAAAAAATGGCACAGAGAAAAAGATTTTTTGGCTCGGATACTAAGTGCAAATCCTACATCCACTATTCTTATATTATTTTCTGTATTTTCTTTGTGCACAAATACAACTTCCAAAATATAAATCAAAATCAGATCTGGCTATTTCTATGGCCTTTTCACAGCTATATTTGTGGTCGTTTCAAGGTTACATCTTTGGCCGTGAAACGGCCATAAAAATGTTCTTACCGGCGCACGACCAGCCAGATCCCACTGGTCATGCACCATTACGACAACTGCTGGCAATGGTGGCTAGCTATTGGCAATGGCTTTGGATGGGTGGAGATGGTTTTGCTACAAATAAAAAGTTTTATATGGCGAGATGCTTTAGCAAAATTTCAAATTTAGGGGGTTAAAAAAATAATATTATATTTATATTTTAAATGAATGGCAATTTAGTATTCTATATAATATACTCACTCATTCATCCTTCCAACCAAATATATTAATATAACATACCCATTAATTTATTCCAACCAGCCAAACACATTTCCCTAAACATTCCCAGTAATTTTCAAGGTAATTTATATTTTCATTAATATAACATTTCTAATAATAAAACATTCTCTGAATCAAATGCACCCAAAGAAAAAAGATGTTCCCAAATAAGATTGTCTAACGTATCAAGGATTTTTATTATATTTAGTCTTATTTCATGTGGTTGAGTTTTTTTTTTTTTTTTCTTTATTACATTTATATTACATTATAATCCATATTTATTTTTTCTTACATATTAACAAAGAATCTTATAACAAGATAGGGTTGGAAGGTGGAAAGTGGAAAGTGGAAAGTAGCATCTCAAGTCAAGTCCACCAAAGTTCCCAATGGAGATTGTTAAACTTTGTGTTTCACGATGAACCAACTCCATCTTTTCGTGTTTCACACGACTTAACATAACACTTTAAGACTTTATTTTTAAGCAAATAATAATAATAATAATTTTAATTTATGATATTTGAAGAAAAAAAAAAAAAAAAAGCCAACTCATCTCTTGATATCAATCCGTCAAACAAATAACCAGATTTAAAACTATTGATGTTGCGATTTACACCAACAAAAAATATGTAAGATTTATAGGGGAAGCCACGTAAGAGTTTGTATAAAACCCGTGATTTCGATGATAGATCGATGAATGAATGGAAAATCAAAAAAGGGCACAAAGAAAAAGATTTTTTGGTTTGGATGCTAAGTACAAATCCTATATTCACTGTTTTTGTATTTTCTTTGTGCACAAATATAGCTTCCAAAGTATAAATCAAAATCAAATTCCAAATTTAAATAAAAAGTAAACTTATATTATGGTATAATGGAAAGCTTATAAATAAAATTAACTTAAATATATAACACGTGATGTGAATCTGTGCTTTAGAGATTTACCACACACAAAAAAAAAAAAAACACTATAATAGTTCGACAAGTAGAACAAAAAGATTTCATTATTTATAATGTCTATCGAATGAAAAAATTGAGAAGTTGCAAACTATAACCAGGTTTACTAAATGATTTAGACATGCCCCGATGAATGATTTAGAGTGATTTTAGTCCCATAGTAAAAAATTACAAACTTGCAATCTTGAACAATGTTCTTCAATTTTAATAACCAAATTATTAAATAGGTCATCTACTCATTCACCCTTAATGAAAAGGGCCTAGACTCAGTACCAGCCAAATTTAGGATTTTTGTTCCGGGGGATTAATGGTATTAATCTAAAAAAAAAAAAAAAAACCTAGAAATTATAAATTATAAATTCTACTAAATTTTAAATTTTGTTTTAATTTTTAACCTTTAATTCTTACAAAAACCCTAACAGTAAATATTTATAATCATTGAAATCTTTTGTTTTATTTCAATTATTTGTTTGTTTGCTGAAAATATATTATTAAAACTACGAAGAAGGTAATCATACAATAGGATGAATCTCAATTCAAAGAAGAAAAAACTTAATTAAGTTTGAAGTTGGACAAAAGAGGTGGCCTAATTTAGTATGAAATTGGAGAAAATGGGTAAAAAAAACCTAATTAAGTTTAAAATTGGAAAGAAAAAAAAATTGAGTAAACAAAAAACTAATTAAGCTTAGAGGGTGATTTTTGGTATTAAACGGGGTTTTAAAAGACGTATTTTAAATCAAACGGAAGTACTTTCCCTTTCTTTAATTTGAATATAGCCATTTCTTATATTAACCCTTAAAGGTCTACACTCGGTGGGCAGTCCAGTCCAGCCCATTAAATTAACCCTTAAAGGCCTAGACTCCATGGGCAGCCCAGTTTTGCCCCAGTTGACGTAGTCCTTGTAGCTTCTAATTGGGAACGGGAAGTGCAAGGTTGAGTGAAGTTTGACCAAATCGGAAACCATGGAGGCAGTGGCGGAGGGACTATGGGGTCTGGCTGATTACCATGAAAACCGATCAGAAATTGGAAAGGCGGTGAAATGCCTTGAAGCCATTTGCCAAAGTCACGTTTCATTCTTACCCATAATTGAGGTGAAGACCCGTCTTCGTATAGCCACTCTTCTTCTTAAACACACCCACAACGTCAATCACGCTAAATCACATCTTGAACGTTCCCAATTGCTTCTTAAATCAATCCCATCTTGCTTTGAATTGAAGTGTAGAACTTTCAGTTTGCTCAGTCAATGTTATCATCTTGTTGGCGCCATCGCTCCTCAAAAGCACATTTTGTTCAAGGCTCTTGACCTTACTTCTTCTGCTCCACATGAGTATGTGCTCACTTTGACATTAAATATATTTATGTTTATTTTAATTAATCTATACATTTATGTAATTTTTACTTTTTTTTTTTTAATTTTGTTTGAAGGCTTGCAGTGAAGTTGTGGTCTTGTAATTTCAATTCTCAGCTTGCGAATGCTTTGATTATTGAAGGAGACTTTCAGACTTCCATGTCTGCACTACAATCTGGTTTTGTTTGTGCAACTGAAATTGCGTATCCCGATTTACAGGTTTCTTTCTGTTAAATATGTGAATAATACAAACTTTTCCATACAAGCAGAAGGACGAATGCATGTAAAATGTCAACTTAATAAATGTTCAATAAATATAGATGAATGAAGTGTCAATGAAAGAGTAGTGTCACGTCAGTTTATATACATTAGTTTGTACGGTTTGTATATGTAGCACCACTCTAATTACATACCCCAAATATTAGAAGAAAATAAATAAGTGATTGTATATATCTTTTTTTTTTAAAAAAAAAAAAGTCTTTTTCATGTCTACAATGATTGATTGATTTCTTTTTTCCATTTGTTTGTTAGATGTTTTTTGCAACTTCAATTCTACACGTGCACCTTATGCAATGGGATGATGATATTTCAGTTCAGATAGCTATGAAAAAGTGTGATGAGGTTTGGAAATCTATTGATCCAAATAGAGTAAGTGTTATTATTCTTGCTTACTTTAGCTTCCTTTGTTATAGAATTTGGATGAGATCTTTTTTGCTGAATTTGAATGTATTCTTCTCTTGCTTTTCATAATTTAAAGAGAGGACAATGCCTTGGTTTGCTCTTTTACAATGAGCTGCTGCACATATTCTATCGGCTTCGCATCTGTGATTACAAGAATGCTTCACAACATGTCGACAAATTGGATACAGCTATGAAGGCTGATTTGCAGAAAGTGCGAGAAGTTGAGCAGCTGGTGAGTGAACTTGATGCCTTGAATCAAAGTCTTTCCCGCCCTGACTTACCATCCGGGGAAAGGTCAGCTCTTTCTGGAAGACAAGCACAGCTTCAACGGCGGCTTAGAAGTGTGACAGAATCAAGCTTTGTAACTGGCAAAGACACGCTTGAACCTGCTTTTTTTGGAAATGCAAGACGGGCGTGGGGAGATAAGCTCATGCTTGCACCAGCTCCAATTGATGGGGAATGGCTACCAAAAAGTGCTGTTTATGCATTGGTTGACCTGATGGTGGTCATACTTGGGCGTCCAAAAGGACTTTTTAAGGAATGTGCAAAGCGGATTCAATCTGGAATGCATACTATCCTAGGTTAGTTCTTTTCCATCTTTCTCCCCTTCTGGTTACTCTAGGTTGATGTTTGATGCATCACTTAATTTAACTTTTAAAGAGAATCAGTAATTTGGTTGTGGTCTTTTGTATGAAAATATCAACAGTTGCTTGTGATATCATTGAATTTTGGTTTTGGCTTGCTTGTTTTAAATCTTTTGTTGACTAGCAGATCAGATATCTTTAATTTCTTTTATGGTTAAGGTTACATGCACTGCCAAGGAGCCTCAGTAATTATGTTTTTTGCAGATGCCCTAGTGAAACTTGGAATAACTGATGGTGTGAGAGGTATGAGTTTCAATTTCTGATGATGACTTAATTATATGGTTTCAACCCTTTTGTGCTTTTAAGGTCAGTTATTCAGTTGGCTTAAATTTTCTTTTGAGCAGAAGTGGATTTGCAACATTCAGCCATCTGGATGGCTGGTGTGTATTTAATGCTACTAATGCAGTTCCTTGAAAACAAAGTGGCTGTGGAACTCACTCGGTCTGAATTTGTTGAAGCACAGGAGGTAGGTGGTATGCCTCAAATATTGCCGTGCTCAGTCTTTTGCCTTTGTTTCACTTCTTTTTAGGAATTGTATGCTCCCCCTCCCCCCTGCCTAATAAAATTATTTTTGTGTGAAGATTCTTACCTAGACTAACTAGTTATTGATTCTGTCTTCAATATTCAAGATACTTGTCAATTTTAGATATGATATATGCTTGAAATCAGGTGGACGCTCTCATGGGGTTGGGTAATTAAATTTATTTCGATGAAACTTTTGTAACGTCTTATGTTTCAGTTTTCTGGAATTTTGCCTCTGTTGAATAGTTGATAAAGTTTCCATAAAATACGTATGTTATTGCTTGAGTACGTTTGCCCTCAATTGATTTTAAGCTCACTTTGCAGTATTTTTTCCCATGCATTGTCTTGTGTCATTTTCTATACAAAATTTAAGGGCTACCTGTAATGATAGTTGCAATTTGAAGTTGCTTAAATAGACAACTGGCTTTGAAAATATTGGATTCAGTTTGACTTTTATTTCTTTTGGTTGAAATTTAACTTTTTTCCTGTCATATGGTTTTTTGGTTTCTGTCTCTCGTCTTTTAGCATATCCTTTGTGTTTGTTTGCAATTCAAAAGTGAAGAAACAAAGTACTGTATCTGTATTTGCAGGCACTGATTCAAATGAAGAATTGGTTCATTAGGTTTCCAACCATTTTACAGGCTTGTGAGAGCATCATTGAGATGCTCAGGGGACAGTATGCTCATTCTGTTGGCTGTTATAGTGAAGCAGCTTTTCATTATGTTGAAGCAGCAAAGGTGTTGTTTAAGTTCTGACTTTTAGCTTGGACTTAGAAAATATTCTGTATTACCATTGACTTTACAATTTCAGCATTTTAATAATCTCCAAGGAGACAATATGCTTATAAGAAGCACACCTGTAAATTTTAGTATTTAGCAAATTCCAAATGACTACAAATCATATGCCTGTGTATATCAGTTTTCACGTTGTTTCAAAAATAAGGTTTTTTTTTTTTTTTTTTTTTTATATATATATATATATATATTTTTGTAATTCAATTGTGTTGATTGTGCAGCTAACAGAGAGCAAATCGATGCAAGCTATGTGCCACGCTTATGCAGCTGTCTCTTACTTCTGCATTGGAGATGCTGAATCATCTTCGCAGGTTATATTTTCCTGTAGTTAGTGGGTTATTACATTTTGTTTGCAATAGTAAGTTAGTACATAGTGGAGTCATTTTTTATGATAGTTTAGATTGTATCATTGATAAGTAGTTTGTATGCAGGCAATCGATTTGATTGGACCAGATTACCAAATGAAGGATTCTTTTATCGGAGTTCGAGAGGAAGCAAGTCGCCATTTTGCTTATGGCCTTCTATTAATGAGGCAACAAAATTTCCAAGAAGCAAGGTAGATGCTTGAGTTCTTTCACCTTCTGCAGCAATTAGGTCATTTTAGTGCAAACTTGGAAGAAATTTGCATTCCATGTGGAAATATTTATATCTATTGTGTTTTTTATGGATCAGAGACAAATTATTTTCCAAAGCTACTCTATTAAGTAATATGATCCATAGTTCATAGACAACATTTCTCATTTTTCCTTGGTAATGTTTCTGTAATGGTCACCTCTTACACGTTGTGGGTTTACACCTAAAATGCCATGGAAGACCGAATCGAAAGGTTTCATCATATTATGACCTCCAAATTTCCACATGAACGAGAAATTGATGCATGTTTTCTTTCAAAATCTGAGCTTAGACATCATCTGTTGGAAAAATAAAGAAAGAAAGAAAGAAAGAAAACCTATACACATGAATCTCTCTCTTTTTCTCACTCCTTATCCTGAAACAACTCTTATGCAGAAATCTCCTAGCCAAAGGTTTGCAGATTGCTCATAATCATATGGGGAACCTTCAACTTGTTTCTCAGTATTTGACAATCCTTGGGAGTTTGGCACTCGCTCTGCATGACACAGTACAAGCCAGAGAGATATTGAGATCGTCTCTTACATTGGCAAAGAAGCTTTCTGATATTCCAACTCAGATCTGGGTGCTATCTGTTTTGACAGGTATAGTTGTCCCTGTAGCTGTTAACTTTTATTGTGACTGGAAATTTGTTGGTTTCAGAGTTTAGCAATGTGGATTTGTGGCATTTTTCTGTTTTCATGATGTTCTACCCATCAGAAGGCATCCCATAGCCATCCTTGCTTCATGGTGTACACAACTATTTTGGGACAGGGGATGGGGAACAATAACTGATTGGTGAACTCAATTAAGAAAAAGATAATTTAAGTTAGTATAATTATTCTGAGTCTGAGGACCAGTTTATTCTTTATTAAGAGATTGCAGTATAACGTCACAAAATTGTTTTCGACTAGCTGATGCAGCCATGCATTCTTTCAGACCAACTTGTATTCAATTGGCATAGTTTTCTCCAGGTTTTGTTAATACTGCAGATGATGAAAATGAATGATTGGTTCAAATATCCTTTTGCTCAAATACTGTCAGTCTCTATTCAGTAGGAAAAATGCCCTGTCATGTGTATAAAACATTGTTCACGAGGTCAAAGAAGAAAAATGACAGTTTCACCATATTTCATTTTTCTGTTGATTTAATGTGATAACCTTTTGTGTAAATTCCAGTAATTCAAGATGAGAAGTCATATCAGTTATACCCCAGTGGTTGTGAAAGCAGTTTGCATTCTTTGTTACTCTGATTGAGTTCTTTTAAAACCACTATTGGTATGCTTATCTCATGCACTTTATTCAATGATTCTGCTTGTAGCTTTGTATCAACAGTTGGGTGAGAAAGGGAATGAAATGGAGAATGATGAATATCGAATAAAGAAGTTAGATGATCTGCAAAAGAGACTTGCCGATGCATATTCATCCATTCATCACATTGAATTAGTAAGGGTTCTTATATTTTTTGGCCTTATTGTCAGAAACAGCTAGATGTAACTAAGCAAAGTTTTTTATTTCTCGGTACTAACAATTGTTCCTCTTGTGTGTTTCTCTGAGCAGATTGACAAAGTAAAACTTGACGTTCAGCAATTTAATGAGCTTGACATTAAGCGTGCAATGGAAGGCCAATCTATGAGAGTCAATCTTGATATTCCAGAGTCTATTGGTCTATCGACACCATTACCCATGCCATCATCATCAAGGCTGGTTGATTTGGACACTGGGAGACGTGGGAAGAGAAAAATCTAGTTCCGTCTTTTCTCTTTTTTAAATAGTTTTATTTTGTTGGGGGTTTTGTAAATTTTTTAAGGTTTAGAAAAATTAAGCTTGATTAAGGTTAGTTAGCGAGGATAACCTTGTCAATTAGGTTTGATGCAGTGCAACACAAAGTCAAGAGATCAATATTGTTCATACCAACTTTGGATGTAAATCAAGCTTGGGGTAGGTTGTGTGTGATAAAAAAGAGAGAATTACGTTCATAGAACTTCAATTCATAGATTATAGAATATATTCCATTTTAGCCATATATGGCATTCTTCACATTCTAATTGTTGTATATTATTTGATTATTGTGTTTTTCCACTTTCTAAAATTACTGCATGCTTTCTTCTGGCATTATGGTATATTTGTATGTAGCATTATTAACCTTCTGACATTACTTCCCTCATAATTTACCATTGTGTCTAGGCAGACAGGTTGATTTGGTGGTGAGCCATCTTTATGTTTATCTTAATTTGGTCATTATCATGTCAATTGTCAAATGTATAGGCCCCATGGTTACTGGGTTTAAACTGTGTGCAGGTAGAGTTTGGAGAAGGAAAAAAAAGAGTTAAAGAAAAAAGAAAACATTTTGCCTTGATCAAATTTGTAGTGTAACAGTTGAAAATTTACATGTGAAAATTGTTTATCTTCATAGCAGGGACAGATTGTAGGCCTTTGAGAATCTACAGATTGTTTTGGCTGGAGTCCTTATACTTCCTCTTCAGTAGTCAGCCCAGATATTTCTTTAAGTGGTTTCCACATGAACTTTCTCCTGTGCATTGCATCAAAGTTATTGACTAACATCTACTAATTGCTTTGGGTTTAAAGATAAGTAGGACAGCTTACCAATTTCCACACTCTGCAATGACCCTCACTTTTGGACGGAGAGTTGGAAGCAAAGCTAGAAACTGCAATTCTGACTTTGACAGAACCTGTGCAAAGGTATGTTTGATATCAATTAGGTTACTTTTAATCAAAACATCGGTTCATATCATAACATTGTTGGACTGATAGCTGTTTGTTGTTTGATTTGAGTCATTATGCAGAAAATAGATGAATCAAATACTTGAGGTGAGGTGATTGTACCTTGGCTTCAATTATCCACAACACAAGTCCTTTGGCATTTGGGGGCAATGCAGCAAGCCTGTAATCAACTTCAGGTGGGAAGTACCACCTTGCTATTGGTTGTTTTCCCACATGGGCCTAGGATAGATTGGAGAATATATATTTATTCTTATAAATAATAAATATGTGTAAAGATTAAGTCAACAACTTACTGGACAAACAGGGTGAATCTTGGTTAGAGTTGTCTCGGGATCACCGAGTCCACGAGCAGTAAGATCGAGGAAGTAGTAGCCCTGGTAACCGAGGCGATTAAGGTAACGACCCTCGTAGCCTCCTTCATGTGGAGTATAAATGGCAAGGGCTTTGTGCTCCTCCACATCTGAGAGCCAACGCCCGATATCAGGTTTTATCAAATCACCCCCTATGAAATCTCCTATTCCAATACTACTAGTGCATTTCACTGTTCTAACTCTTCTAGTATTCCACATTTTAGGTGTTTTTGTTGGTTGGATATTGATGGAGGGTGCTCCATGGTTTAAGAAAGTTGCAGCAGCTGCCATAGTTGCCATTCACTTCAAACCAAAAACAAACCCAACTTTTGTTTGTTTGTATAATAATTTTCATTGTATGGTGGAGAAATAAGATAAGAAATTAGAGATTACTTTGCATACATCTCCTACATATATGCCATACTCACCACACATTCACTTTTTGAATTTATAGTCCGGAGAATGTGGACCCATGCAAATTAATTTGGCAAGTTATTTGATAACAATATTATTCCCATGAAATGTCAATATGTACATAGCTTAGCTGGTGAAAAAAGAACATAAAGCCTATTATTAAGATGGTCGAATCACAATATGTCCCCCTAGGTATTGCAAAACAACTCATCTCCCCTTGGTTTCAGAAACATTCAATTTCTCCCAAACGTTCATCTCCATCCACCCAAATTTTGTTTGATCGGATTTGATCATCGAACAGTATAATTTTATGAGTAATTCCTCAGTAAAATCCCTAATTTTATAATATATCATATAGATAAATTTTAAAAACCATTTAATTTTTCAGATTAATTAAAAGGAAAAATATAATTTTCACTTAACTTATATTTATTCATCTGATACAATAGACATGGTGCACAATATAACTTTTCTAATTCTGACACGTGCATATTGCTATCTATATGCTTTAATTTTTAAACAAAATTGTATAATTTATTATGCTATACAAAATTTATATTTTCTTGTAAGTTTTTTTTTTTTTTTAAATATTATGAGTTCTAATGAATAATTTTTAATAAGTTTTTTAAATTTTTTCTATAATTTTTTTAATAATTAATTTAAACTTAAGTTAAGCTGGAAAAAGATAGTTTTTAAATGAATAAATGATTGTGAATAAATACTTATTTAAAAGCTTTATTTGAAAAGATAATGTAAATTGACACGTATAATGATGCACCAATCATAGTATATTCAACATGGTATTATCATCAACATAGAATAATATAATATTTAATGCAAACTGATACAATATAGTACAAAAATATAATACAATACTATATGCAGTCAAGTGTGACACATTAAGCATGCCTCAAGTTAATTATATATCGAATTATATATCATCCATAAGATATAAGGGGTGGTAACTGTTAGACCCTTAAAGAGTGTCATGGGCATGGGCAGGCATGTCTCTTTCATCCTTGACCATAGCCTTGCCTAGATGGTGCATGAGAGCAAGCAATAAAAGGATGGGTGGTGTGCCTTAAATAAGCACACGAGACAGTACTGAGTGAGCTACCAATTTTGAGGTGTTTGGGTGTTAGGGTGCCAAACACACATTTATGGAGGATGATGAGCACACAGACAGATAAATATGCAGGTGGAAGCACTTGCAAGCATATACATGTGTAGGCAAAGCATATGTTTGCATGGGCGTTAGAGCATCCATGATCAGATCAAGTAGTGCACGGGTTGGGACGTGCACAACAGCACAAGCGCATAATGTGCATAGTAAGCAACTAAGTACACACACAAGGCAGGAAAGTGCATGGGTGTGCATGAGGAAATATGCCAAGTTGATTGGAATGTTAAGGCAAAGTTGGATGGTTGCGTAGACAAGACTGAGGGACGGTTATACATGTTTAGATGAAACATGTACAGTTACGCAAGTGCTTGGTAACTGCTAAAGTTTGTAACTGCTTCTTGTAACTGTTTAAGTAACTGCCTTGCCAATATTAATCTAAGGCAAGAAAGCTATTTATTCAGTGAAAAAGGGGTGTTATGTGTGTGTGTGTGTGTGTGTGTGTGTGTGTGTGTGTGTGTGTGTGTGTGTGTGTGTGTGTGTGTGTGTATGCCATTTCTGTAAACTTGAGTGATGTAATCTGTGAGTTTGGGAATCAGATTGTAACAGTGGGGAAAGGCATTCATGTAATCCTTGTATTTTGTATAATTAATATAAGGTTGGGAGTTTTTCCTATAGATTGTTGTCTTTATACTTTGGTAGCCTCTCTTCACTATTGTTGTTGTAAATTGTAATAGGGATACACACGTTTGGGGAGGCTTACAAGCAATTGATGTGCTTGTGCCACATAGTGCCTAGGCAGGAATTTAGACCTTGTGACATTGGTATCAGAGCCCGGTTAAACCAAGTTTGTGTTAAAACTTTCCTTGTTGCTTTTTCATGTCAAGACGAGCTGAGATGGAAGTATTAAGGGAGAGAGATTGACTCGATTGGAAGAAATGATTGGTGATGCTTAAGATGGTCAAGCTATGGCCATCAACGAAAGATTGAATCATTTTGATCAGAGTTTTGAAATGCTCCATAAGCAATTTATGGAATTGGTAGATTTGTCAAACAAAAGACTTGATGCCTTGGAGGATGATAATGTCTTGTTGAAACATGTTGTGCACCAAGGCTTTGATAGGGGAAGCACAATAAAATCAAAGTACCTGAACCCAAGGCTGTTCAGGGTGCTAGAAACGCCAATTAATTGGAGAACTTTTTATAGGACATGAAGCAATACTTTGAAGTCGCAAAAGTCCTTGATGCCAAGGAAATGTTTATAACCAGTATGTATTTGGCTAAAGATGCTAAGCTGTGGTGGCGTACCAAGTTGGTAGACGATGTGAGTGCAGGTAGACCCAAGGTTGATACTTGGTACAGACTGAAGAAGGTACTCAATGATCAGTTCTTATCAGGGAATACATCTTGGATGGCTTGATCAATTAAAAAGCTCCAGGATAAGGGTACTATGAGGGAATATGTGAAGGAATTTAGCTCCTTGATATTAGACATCCAAAATATGTCCGAGGAGGACAAACTGTTTAACTTCATGCGGGCTAGCAAGGTTGGGCACAAGTTGAGTTGAGAAAGCAAAACGTAAGGGATTTGCCTAATGTAATTGCTACTGCTAATGGGTTACTGGACTTTAAGACCACTAAGGAGAAAAAGCCTATTGCTATTATAAAATCAAAGAAGAAGGATGATCGGGAGATAAAAGGAAGTAAGAAGAAAGAATTTCGGCCTCAGAAGAAAAATCCTACCAATGATAAGGGGAAGGCAAGTGGTGGGAGTAATTTTTCTAAACATAACAAAGAGGACAAAGCAATGTCTAACTGTTTTATTTGTGGGACACCATATCGGGCAAGGGATTGCCCAAAGAGAGAAAAGTCGAACGCTTTAATTGGCAAAAAGGAAGAGCCTAGTTGGGAGCAGACTTAAATGAATCCTATGCAATTGTTAAAACTGTGGGGGTAGTGACTGTTTCGAAGATAGGAAATGATGCTACTTATCTTGGAGTTATGAGCAAGGGTGTTGCTTGTAATGCTTTACTGTTCGTTGATATTAAAGTGAAGGATGGACAAGTTAAAGCCTTATTAGACACGGAGGCAACCCTTAATTTTATGGCAATAGAGTTGTTGCAATATTAGGACTAGCACTCTTATAAAGTCCCACAACAGTGAAGATTATTAACTCTAATGCATGAGGGGTGATAGGAATAACCTACAATGTGTTTGTGTGTATGGGTTGTTGGATATGAAAGATTAATTTGACATTTGTTCCTTTAGCTGACTTTGATATCATCTTAGGAGTAGACTTCTTTAAATGAGCAAATGTGTTGGCAATGCCCTACTTGAATAAAATGATGATCAATTTTGAATCTGGTCCTTGTTTTGTGCTGTGCCGCTCATTGCGAAATAGTAGTAAATCAA